ATAAGCTGAGAAAATGTTTATTAAAATGAGAAGTGAGGAATTTTCTTGACAATCCCTCATTGACTGATTTTCTTAAAGGGTTCCACGACGAGTCGGCCAGAAGCGTTTTTCTTTTTTTCTCTGAAGTGACTGAATAGGTTGGAGTTTCCGCCTGTTTTTCAAAGTACTCCCCTTGTGGTTTCATGCATCACGTCGTGTGATAATTAAGGTCTGCCGCAAGACCAGGCAATTAGATTCGACGTAGACTCGAGAACTCTGAAAATCTCCGACCTTGGAGTGAACTATACTTGTGATTTAATCGTTCACTTGTGTTTAAATTTATATTTTTAATTTTTATTTCTTTGTATAATAACCCAGATTTCTGTATTTGTATATATATATATACACTATCTGGAAGGAAAGTGACGGGACACCCCTCGAAAAGTAGAAAAGTCGACAATACAGCTGACACATGCGCAATAATAGGTATCGCGTGTCAGTCATATCCTATAAATACTCTGTGGAGTCGACTAGAGTTGTTTTTTGTCAAGATGCCGCCACGGGAAGAGTTGTCTGAGTTCGAGAAAGTTGTGTTGGTTGGATTGCATCTTGCCATGGTGTCAATTAGGGAGATATCCCGTCTCCGTAACTGCTCAAAATCAACTGTAGCACGTGTTGTGTGTCGCTACAAGACTCAGGGACACTGTCAGAACAAACCCCGAAGTGGACGACTTACAGTTCTCACCAGCAGGGACCATCGGGTGCTCGGCAGGGAGATTCGAAGTAACCGTCAAACATCCATGGATGACATCGCTAATGAGTTTAGACAAACCACAGGTGTGGCCGTTTCGACCAAGACACTTCGTATCGAGGCCCATAAATTAGGTTACACTGGACGTTGGGCAGCCCATAAGCCTTTGATTACGAAAACCAACAAGAAAGCGCGCATTCGATGAGCCAAAGACAACCGTACTTGGACTCTGGATGACTGGAAACGCGTCCTTTGGAGTGGCAAGTCACGATTTACCCTTTTCTGTTCCGATGGACGCGTTTGGGTATGGCGTTTACCAAGAGAACGCCTTTTGCCCGAGTGTGTCGTCCCAACTGTAAAGTTTGGTGGAGGAGGATTGATGGTATGGGCCTGTTCCTCTTGATATGGGGCTGGCCAACTGGTGAAGTTTGATGGTGAGATGAATGCCTATAGATACTGGGATATTCTCGACAATCATGTCCTTCCTAACTTGGGGGCAACGAGCGGTATGGATGATTGCTGGTATCAAAACGACAACGCAACATGCCATGTTGCAAGGAGGACTCTTGATTGGTATGTGAACAACAACGTTAAACGCATGGAGTGGCCGGCGCAGAGCCCTGATCTTAACCCAATTGGACATCTCTCGGACGAATTGGACCGTCGGTTGAGGGCCTGCACCCCACTCCCCAAAAGCAAGCCTGAACTATGGAACTTCCTGTTAAACATTTGGAAGGAAATTCCTCTTGCCACTATGGCTAATTTAGTGGAAAGCATGCCCATAATGGTTGCAGCTGTGATCGCAGCCAAAGGAGGCCCTACCTCCTATTAATTTCAATAAATATGGGTTTATGTCGTTATAGTGTCGTGTCCCGTCACTTTCTTCCACATAGTGTATATATATATATATAGTGCTTGTAAATAAATATTAAAGTATTGATCCTGAAAGTCTCAAGTCCCCAGGATCCTGAAAGCCCTCTTTTTGGAGCCTTTATAGGTCTAGTATACTAGGCCGAGACGTTACATGTCCCGAAAACCATAAACTACAGCCTTTTAGGAAACAATGTTAAATTACTATAAGTATTCAATAAACTTAGTTGATTCATAATTCAACGCAAAGTTCTGCAAGAATTGTGAATAAAAAAATAATGTGTTATATACAATGTGGCATTCTATTACAATTACTTTACTCAAAGAAAATGCTCCGTTTGTTCAAGCCTTCCTCCCAAATCCACCCCCCTTCCCTCTATTCTTCTTTTCTTAAAGATGCAATGTGTCTTTTTAAAATTTATTTGTTGTTTGATCATTAATTGAGCTGTAAGTGCCTATAATAATTAAGCTGTACTAATTTTTTCAGATCTCATTGGACGTCTTTATCACAAGATTCAGTTCCAACATCGCTAAATCGTACAGGTTGCACCAGTTCGCAATTCAAGAATGACGATTGTGTTCAGTGCTGCCAACCCCCGTTCATCAAACGATACTCGGATTCTATCCGTCGACATCAACCCCGTCCGGAACATCCAGGACGAAGTCAAACTTTCGGGTCGAGACTTGACGACGATACCCGAGTATGTCCGAAGAAACGTGCACCTCAGGATCTTGGACCTGTCCAACAATTGCTTGGGCCGTCTGAAAGAGAGTGTGGTGGCAGAACTGTGCGGTCTGAAAAACTTGACGAGACTGAATTTATCTGTGAATGAATTGAAAAGTGTTCCCTTGGATTTTACACTGTTTCCTTTTCTTGAAGCTTTGTGCTTGTCTGGAAATGAACTGGAGGAACTACCGGAAGGAATCGTCAGTTTGCACAGGTAAGTTGTCATAGGGTTTGCACGGGATTTTGTTATTTGTGTCGTGTAAAAATAGTTCCTTTGTAGTGTATGCTGTATATCTTTTAATTTACTAATTATTTTTGTATCTTTATTATTTTTAAAATTTATTAATGCCAACAAAAAGTTCATGTAATGTTAAGATGTTTCGAAATCTGCCAGTAGGTAGAGGTCCTTGGTACACCAAGAGCTGTTACGGTATTGAAGAAGAATTGGGAATACTTGAGAATTCACTTCATTACAATAACATACATTTTTTTTTTAAAGTCAATTCCTACATTTTTTTTCACTATATTGCAGAAAGTTCTTTATAAATAATTTTATTCATTTTTTGAAGTTTATCTGGCGCCATCTATTGATATATATGCAACTTCAATCTAAAAAAAAAACTAAAATTAATTAATTTATTTTAATTACTGAATTAATATTTGAAAAACTGTATTAACATCAAGTGTCATCCACTACAAGTTAAAAAAAATGCATTTGAACTTGAGTGGATGGATAAAAAGTATTTTGAACAAGATATATATAGGGAGATTGCGAGCTAATAGAAGGAATTGAATAACAACCCGCTACTCGGCGCATTTTGGCGAAAAGATTTTTTGAAGCCATTCTGCGATTTTACCGTTATTTTTTATATAAAATTATTAACTTAATTTTATATAAAGTTGTTAATGCTTCAAATTTTCCAGAAAAGTTTTAAAAATAATATTTTATACAAACAAATATTACTTCAATAAAGTATTATCAACGAAAGTTTGTAGCATATGATTGAAAAGTAATTAGCATCAATGCATATGCGTGAAATTTTTACTGTCTCTTTGAAACTTGTCCAGGTGTACTTTTGACTATTGCATTCCACAAATATCATCTGAAGAAGAACAGATTTATAAAGGGTCTGAGGGCTGAGTTGCTAGAGCTGGGTAAGGTTTCGAGCTCGAATCCCGGCGATGCTATGGATATTTGTAGCGGTTCGGAATCCACTTTAAACCTTAGGATCCTGTCTAATAATAACCTGTCTTATTAGACAGGGTCCTAATAATAACCTGCCTAAACACTTTAAACCAGGGATGGGCCAACTCCGGCCCGCGGATGGAATTTTAATTTTCCGGTCCGAGGCAAATTAAAAGAAATATATATTTATATATTATACATCCATCTCCTTTTCTACATTGATTAAATATTATTTTTTTTATTAAAAATATTGTTATTTTTAATATTATTATTTTTATCTCATTTCCCGAGGTTAAATTCAATACCTTCAGTAAATGAAGAGAAGCTTAAGAATTATGAAGATGTCTTGAAAAAACTGTATTTTGAGTTCGAACACAGATTTCAAGATTTCAGTGCCATTCAAACAGAACTGGATATTTTTACCGTGCCTTTCAACGTAAATTGTGAAGCAGTGAGGTCAGATTGGCAGGATGAATGAATTGAGTTACATTCTAACAATCATCTCAAGCAGCTGTTTCTAAATATGCCAAAGTTAGAATTTTACAAATCATTATCTAAAGTAAGTTTCCCAAATTTAATATCTCACGGCCAGAAAATCAATGCTCGTTTGCTTCATCTTATATATGTGAACAAGTGTTTTCAACTGTGAACTTTAGAAAGAATTATTTCAGAAGTAGACTAACAGATGAGCATTTAGCCTTGTTCCATAGAATCAGTACATCTCACTTCGAACCTCAATATAAGGAACTTTTAAAAATGAAATCGCAATTTTATTCATCTCGTTAACATATTTAAATTGTAATACTTGTATATTGTTTTTAAAATTTTAGAAAAAATTTATCTTGGCTCGCCAAACTTTTTATTTTTTCCATTTTTGGCCCGCGACTGAAAAAGTTTGCCATCCCTTTTTAGGGTTTGTACAGGTTTTTGTTATTTATGTCGTGTAAAATATAGTTCCTTTGTAGTGTATGCCGTATATCTTTTACTTCAATAATCATTTTTTATCGTTATTATTTTTAAAATTTATTATTGTTAACAAAAAGTTCGTGTAATGTTCAGATCTTTCGAAATCTGCTAGCAGGCAGAGGTCCTTGATCCACCAAGTGGTCTTACGCCATTGAAGAAGAATACTTGAGAATTCATTTCGCTTACAATAACAACCCACTACTTGGCGCACTCTGGCAAAAAGATTTTTTGGCGCCATTCTGCAATTTTACCATTAATTTTTATATAAAATTATTAAATTGATTTTATATAAACTTATTAACTCTTCAAATTTTCCAGAAAAGTTTCAAAAATAATATTTTATACAAACAAATATTACTTCAATAAAGTATTATCAACGAAAGTTTGTAGCATATGATTGAAAAGTAATTAGCATCAATGCATATGCGTGAAATTTTTACTGTCTCTTTGAAACTTGTCCAGGTGTACTTTTGACTATTACATTCCACAAATATCATCTGAAAAAGAAAAGATTTATAACGGGTCTGATGGCCGAGTGGCTAGAGCTCGGTAAGGTTTCGGGCTCGAGTCCCGGCGATGCTATGGATGTTTGTAGCGGTTCGGAATCCACTTTAAACCATAGGACAGATATTTTGGTGGAACAGAAAAAAAAAATAAAAGGAGATTTGGCTGTGATGAGTCTTGAGATAAATCAGGAGCGTGAGTGAAGTTGATTGAGGCTGAGTCGTGCTTTCATTTTTGCTTACATCCAAATAATAACTGGTGCATTTTTACCATTGAATAAAAATTCTGATTTATTTGAAGCAATAAATCATATTTTTACTTGTAATTATTTTGGGGGCCTGGTGGCAGAGGGGCTACCACTCGGTACCACAGGTTTCGGGTTCGAGTCTTGGCGGTGCTATGGATGTTTGTAGTAGTTCGGAATCCACTTTAAACCGTAGGTCTCGGTCTAATAGGATCGTAGAGCGTTGTTGGGCTAGTGTTACTCACGTCTGTAGCATATCTTCTAGCTACACTTGCCCACGGGGTAGTGCTAAATGAGTAACAGCGGTGCAGCTCTTGCTTATGGCATAAAGATTACGAGCTGTTTCTGTATTGTTGGGGTAGTATTATTCGCGTCTGTAGCATATCTTCTAGCTACACTTGCCTCTTGGGTAGTGCTAAATGAGTAACAGCGGTGCAGCCCTTGCTTATGGCATAAAGATTACGAGCTGTTTCTGTATTGCCAGCAGCATTTTAACAACAGAAAAGATTTATTGTTTTAAAAATCTGCAATAAAATTAAACACTCTTAAAAAAAACTAAGTGATTAGAGGCAGAGATTAAGGAATCGTTACAAGACATTCTAATTATCTTTTCTTATTGATAAAAAAAATTTCTCAATTCATTTCATGGTAAAAAATTAAGTGAACCTGCAGAAAATTTGCTTACATCCTCAACTGTTTTAATATGCAATTTACGTATCGCTGAATCTTCTCAACCAGAAAATTATCAACTTCTCTAATCGAAAAATCGATTATCGATCAGATTTGCATGATATTGCTCATGCATTAGTTCATTTGCCAAAAACTAAATCTAATTTCCCTTCTTGTTTGGTCTGCAAAAAGTCCACCGACGTCTTCTTTTTGTTGACATTTCCTGCAACGACCTTGTTCACGAAGCCGTGGTGGCCATCCATATGTGGCAAAGCAGTGTGAATTTTTAGTGCGTGTCTGTCTTCGTGTTCGTGTGATGTTCAACTCGCCATTTTAACTCAGCAGTTCCGGATATTGCACTTGTTAGAATGAATGCTGTTTTTAATCGAAGGATATGTCTTGCTTCGTTATGGTTATGGCATGCAAGATGGAACGATATTTGCAACTCATGCATCAGTAATGTTGTCAAGTTTACTAGAGTCTATTTGTTTTACGGATTGAGGATATTGTTTTGGTTGATGGAATGTATGCATTTATGAATACATTTAAGCTACGTTAAAAGATTTTTTTTTTATTTTCTTTTATAATTTTTGAGAGTACATCGACAATATTTATGAGTAAGCAAGATATTATCGCCAAAAATTTAAAAAAAAAATTTTTTTTTATGAAGAAATTAATTTTGAAAAATGGCCCTTCGAAAAAAAAAAAAAAAAGGGGGGAGGTTGTATTTTACAATGTTGTTCTAATGCAGCTGTCAATACACATACAATTAATCTTTATGCCATAAGCAAGGGCTGCACCGCTGTTATTCATTTAGCCCTACCCAGGGGGCACGTGTAGCTTAAAGACATGCTACAGACGCGAGTAACACTACCCCCACCACGCTCTACGATCCTATTAGGCTGGGACCTATGGTTTAAAGAAGATTCCGAACCACTACAATCATCCATGGCACCGTCGGGATTCGAACCCGAAACCTGTGGTACCTAGCGCTAGCCACTCGGTCATCAGCCCCTTATTCTGCAGTGTAAAATTTGGCACTTCACTAGCGAAACCTATGTTTTTTAAAACAAAAATTGTGTTCAAGATCTGATTTTTATATTACAATTTTTTGAAAGAACTGCTTTAAAAAAATGCGAAAGTATATGAAGGATATACTTATGTGTTATATACTGATTCTGAATTTCTTCTAAATTGATTGGTTTTGATTTTAAACTTTTCGGAAATAATTTAAATATCTGCAGTTTTTTTTTAGCATTGCAAGAACTGTATACCGGTATTACACTTGCGTAAAAAAAAAAAAAAAGAATTCAAAATGGCAATTCAAAAGAGATCTTAGACATTATTTTACATTATAAAGTTATTTTTTCTTTTTTTTTTTTTTTTTCGTGCCAACAGCGTAGAGTTGTAATAACCAACTGTAAAGATTGTCACCAAAAATCGAGAAGTTATCATCACATATGTTGTTATGAAGTAAAAGTCACATGAGGAGTATGATCACATGAGTTTATGTTTGCCCCAACTTTATTAAATTATTACTCTATGGCTAAAAACTAATAGTGTATATTATTTGAATGTTCGAAAATGTTGACTATTTTCAATTTTGTCTTTCAAGAAAGAGGTATTTTGCCGTTAGTAAAAAGAAAATGTGATAATTAGCATAATATGCAAATGTGTATCTCAAAGTAAAACAATATGGAAATCAAAATGAACAATTACAAGAAGAGAGGCTTCTCTGGTAACGGACACTATCTTCAGGAGTACTTATGCTGTATTAAACTACTTAAACTTACGTGTAATGATTAATAAAAAAAAAAAATAGGATAATTACAACAATTAAAAGTTAAAAATTAGATAAAAAAAATTCTATAAATAATATAGAGTCGTATCGCTGGCAAAAGAAAACATCGAGCCAGCCAGGATTCGAACCTGGAATCTCCTGATCCGTAGTCAGGCGCGTTATCCGTTGCGCCACTGGCCCACAACAAACTTCCCGAACAGGGGGGTAACTAACTCAGCATATCTCGTTTCTAATGATATTGCGTTTTGTTTATAGTTGGTTTAGTTTAGTTTGTCGTGCTATTGTCCTTTTTTGCACACTTTGGGCTAATTAGAGCAGGACCTACAATTTAAGGAACACCTCCTACCTAAGAACCTAAAGAACCTCCATGCCACGGCCAGGATTCGAACCTGTTGTTTATAGTTGGAGAGTGAAACTCAGCTCAATATCAACGTAGACGGGAGCAGTTATATATTTGAAACGTACTCAAAAATCATATCTATATTAACTATTTTATGTATTAACTAATAGATAACTGATTATGTTTGGGTTAAATAGCTGTAGGAACTTTGTTATTTATTTTATAGATTTAAATATAATAGTAAATGTTCTATTAAGTAGTTGGTATTCAAAAGAAACAAGCTACGCAGCGTCTTCTGTCGGAGGTGACAGAGAATAGACTAAAGAATAGGCTTTCTCCTTTCGTTAACGCCGTTTCAAAACGGGCCAAAATTAGCCAAACACGCTATAAAAGAAAAGTACCAATTTTCATGTATGACAATAGCTTCTTTAGAATTATTTGACTGAATTTTCGTTGTCTCAGTTAAAATTGGACTTCATTTGTATTGTGGAAAATTAAATATCATAACAATTCTAAAAGAACTGTATTATATTTTTTAATACAATTATTATTTTATATTCAAAAGGAATGAACTAGCTGATAAGAATTTTACATGCTACGGTGTTTTTTAAACATGAAATACTTGCGATATTTTTATACGACTTACTATCTAAACAATTGTTTTATTTTATCTTAATTATTTTAGTTTGGTCTTACTTAGATAAAATAACAAAAAATGCATTTTTTTAAGAATTTTCTTGACGATAAAAAAATCTTAATAAATGATTTTTATTTATTTTTATTTCAAGTGTTGTTTTAATAAAATGTTTTTTTTTTTTGAAGTTCTTTGATTAATCACGGAATCTTTAGAATATTCTTGATGATAAAAAAATTAAATGAACGATTTTTATTTATTTTTATTCCAAGTGTTGTTTTTATAAAATGTTTTTTTTTTATGTTCTTTGATTAATCACGGAATGTTCTTAAGAATATTCTTGATGATAAAAAAATTAAATGAATGATTTTTATTTATTTTTATTTCAAGTGTTGTTTTTCTAAAATGGTTTTTTTTAATGTTCTTTGATTAAACACGGAATGTTCTTAAGAATATTCTTGATGATAAAAAAAAATTAAATGAACGATTTTTATTTATTTTTATTACAAGTGTTGTTTTTATAAAATGTTTTTTTTATGTTCTTTGATTAATCACGGAATGTTCTTAAGAATATTCTTGATGATAAAAAAATTAAATGAACGATTTTTATTTATTTTTATTTCAAGTGTTGTTTTTCTAAAATGTTTTTTTTTAATGTTCTTTGATTAAACACGGAATGTTCTTAAGAATATTCTTGATGATAAAAAAATTTAATGAACGATTTTTATTTATTTTTATTCCAAGTGTTGTTTTTATAAAATGTTTTTTTTTATGTTCTTTGATTAATCACGGAATGTTCTTAAGAATATTCTTGATGATAAAAAAATTAAATGAACGATTTTTATTTATTTTTATTTCAAGTGTTGTTTTTCTAAAATGGTTTTTTTTAATGTTCTTTGATTAAACACGGAATGTTCTTAAGAATATTCTTGATGATAAAAAAAATTTAATGAACGATTTTTATTTATTTTTATTCCAAGTGTTGTTTTTATAAAATGTTTTTTTTTTATGTTCTTTGATTAATCACGGAATGTTCTTAAGAATATTCTTGATGATAAAAATTAAATGAACGATTTTTATTTATTTTTATTTCAAGTGTTGTTTTTCTAAAATGGTTTTTTTAATGTTCTTTGATTAAACACGGAATGTTCTTAAGAATATTCTTGATGATAAAAAAATTAAATGAACGATTTTTATTTATTTTTATTCCAAGTGTTGTTTTTATAAAATGTTTTTTTTTTATGTTCTTTGATTAATCACGGAATGTTCTTAAGAATATTCTTGATGATAAAAAAATTAAATGAACGATTTTTATTTATTTTTATTTCAAGTGTTGTTTTTCTAAAATGGTTTTTTTAAATGTTCTTTGACACGGAATGTTCTTAAGAATATTCTTGATGATAAAAAAATTTAATGAACGATTTTTA